TTTTATTTTATTTGCCCTTTTTATTAACTTTTTCTTTGGTCTGTTGTTGTCGTTCTGTGGCCTTTTTTATTTATTTTTGGTAGCGTTTTTGGATTATTCCCTTGTTACTTTTTTGCCGCTTTCTGTTGTCGTTTTTTTATTGTCCTTTTCTGTTATATTTTTTGTAATTTTTTTCATTCGCGTTTTTTTGGTCAACAGTTTTATATTTTTTTGGCCTTTGTATGACCTATTTTGGGCTTTCTGTTGCCTTTTTTTGTCCTCTCTTTTTTTATCAACTTTTGCGTACTTTTTTAACAACTTTTCCACGTTTTCATCGCCTTGATTTGTTATTTTTTGTTGTCTTATTTATCGTTTTTTTGCCTTTTTATATTGTAATCTTTTTTTCTGTTTTTTTTTTTAATATTTGGCGCTTTTTTTCTGGGCTTGCTATTGAATTTTTGTCCTCTTTTTCTCAGCTTTTTTGCGTCGTTTTCTCACCTTTTTTTTGATCAATTTTTTTGAGCATCTTTTTTTGTTGACTTTTGTTTTCTTTTTTTATCGCCTTTTTTCTGTAGATTTTGGTGTTGATTTTTTTGCCGCCTTTTTATTGACTTTCTCATTGGTCATTTGTTTGGTCTTTTTTTGTCGTTGTTCTGTAGCCTTTTTTTTAATCCATTTTTGGTTTATTTCTTCGTCACTTTTTTGTCGCCTTCTCTTGTGGTCTTTTTATTGTCCTTTTTGGACCTTTTTATGACCTTTTTTCTGTGCTTTCAGTCACATTCTTTTTGTTCCCTCATTTTTCATCAACTTTTTTGTGTACTTTCCCTGCTCTTTTTCATCACTTTCTATTGTATCATCTCTTTTTGTTGTATTTATGCCATCTTTGTTTGTGGTAGATTTTTTTGCATTTTTTGTCGTCTTTTTTTTTTATTCACTTTTTTTTTGTTTAATTTTTGTAGTCCTTTTTTGTCATCGTTCTGTGGTCTCTTTTTATCGGTTTTTCGTCGTATTTTTGGGTGATTTCTTGGTCTTTTTTTGTGGATACCCCATCATTATTTTTTTGTTTTCTTATTTATTGTTTTTTCGCCCTTTGGTTTTGTAATTTTTTTTGGTTGAATTTTTTTTTTGTAATATTAAATATTTTATCACTCTTTGTGGTCTTTCTTCTGGGCTTTCTGTTGTATTTTTTGTTTTCTTTTTTTTAAGCTTCCTTGTGCCATTTTCCCTCTTTTTCTTGGTCCCTTTTTTTTTAACATATTTTTTGATGAGTTTTGTATTCTTTTTTCTGTAGATTTTCTTGTTGATTTTTTTGTCGCTTTTTTATGGAGTTTTTCTTTGGTCTGTTTTTTTAGTCTTTTTATCGTTGTTCTGTGGCTTTTTTATCGATTTTTGGTCTCGTTTTTGATTTATTTCTTAGTCACTTTTTTGTCGCCTTCTTTTGTCGTGTTTTTTATTGTCCGTTTCTGTTGATTTTTTTGTCATTTTTTTAGTCGCCATTATTTGGTCAACATCTTTCTATTTTTTAAGCTTTTTTGGCCTTTCTGTTGCTTTTATTTTTATTCCCTCATTTTTATCATCACTTTTTTTTGCAACATCTTTTTTTGCCTTATCTATACCCTCTTTTTATCGGCTTTTTTTCAATAGTTTTTTTTTTGCGGATTTTTTGTCATCTTTTTATTCACCTTTTTTTTGGTTATTTTGTAGTTTTTTTTGTCATTGTTTTGTGGTCTTTTTTATCGTTTTTTCGTCGTGTTTTTGGTGATTTCTTGACCTTTTTTTGTCGACCTCCCCTTTCCCCCCAATCATTATTTTTTGTTTTTTATTTATCCATTTTTTACCTTTTTGTTTTGTGACCTTTTTTTGGTTGAATTTTTTTGTAATATTTTTTGTGTCTTTCACTGGGCTTTCTGTTTCATTTTTTGTCCTCCTTTTTCCAGCTCCTTTGTGCCATTCTCCTCCTTTTTTTGACCACTCTTTTTATAGCATCTATTTTTTATCGATTTTTGTCTTTTTTTAACACCTTTTTGTTCTGTAGATTTTGGTGTTGATTTTTTCTCGTCTTTTTTTATTGACATTTTTTTTTTGTTGCATTTTTTGTCATTTTTCCAGTCGCCCCTTTTTATTGGTCAACATTTTTCAATTTTTTGAACATTTTATGACCTTTTTTCTAAGCTTTCTGCTGCTTTTTTGTACCCTCATTTTTTATCAGCTTTTTTGTGTCCTTTTCCTTCTCCTTATCATCACTTTCTTTTGTAGCATCTTTTTTTGTCGTATTTTTTTTGAAAGATTTTTTTGGTGATTTTTTATCGTCTTTATTCACCTTTCTTCTTGGTTGGTTTTTGTAGCCCTTTTTTGTCATTGTTCTGTGATCTTTTTTATAGTTTTTTAGTCGTGTTTTTGGGTCATTTCTTGGTATTTTTTTGTCGCCGCTCCCTCCTCCATCAATTTTTTATGGAGCCCTTTTTATCACAACTAGTCCACATTTTTATCGCCTTTATTTATTATTTTTTTGGTCTCTTACTTATCGGTTTTTTGGATTTTTGTTTTATAGTCTTTTTTGGTTGATTTTTTTTGTAATATTTTTTATGACTTTTTTGTGGTCTTTCTTCTGGCCTTTCTGTTGGTTTTTTTTGCTCTTTTTTTGTAGCATCTTTTTTTTGTCGAGTTTTGTCTTTTTTTATTGGCTTTCTTTCTGTAGATTATGTTATTGATTTTTTTTTGTCGCCTTTGTATTGACTTTTTCGTTGGTAGTTTTTTTAACTTATTTTGTCGTTGTTCTGTGGTTTTTTATATCATTTTTTGGTCGCGTTTTTGTTTTGTAGTTTTTTTGTTTTTTTTTTTGTAATATTTTTTATCTTTTTTTTGTGCTGGGCTTTCTGTTGGATTTTTTGTCCTCTTTTTTTGATTACTTGTTTGTAGCTTTTTTTTATCGATTTTTGTCTTATTCTTTATCGCCTTTTTCACCTTTTTATTGACCTTTTCGTTGGTCATTTTTTTTTTTAGTTTGTTTGTCGTTGTGCTGTGGCATTTTTTATCCATTTTTTGTGCGTTTTTTGGGTTATTTCTTTGACATTTCCCCCCCCCCCCTCTTCATTTTTCGTGCCTGTTTTGTCAATATTTGAACACGCTTTTATCGTTATTAGTTTTTTTTTTCTCTTTTTATTTGTTTGTTGTCTTTTTTTCGTACTCTTTAATTTTTAATAGTTTTTTTCGCCTGTTTGATCACTTTTTCTGTGGTTTGTTTTTTTTGTGGTCTTTCACCCTCATTTTTATCGCTTTTTTAGTAACCTTTTTTTAGTTTGTATTTTTTTATCATTTTTCGTGTCTTTTTTGTCGTTTATTGCTCGCGTTTTTGGTGTTTCTTTGTCACTCTTTTATCGCCTATTTTCCCTCCTTTTTGATTATTATTTTGTAATAACGTCCATCGAGCGAATGGATATTTTAATGTTTTCTCGACGTTTCATGAATACGAAAAAAAGTGGTCCCCGTTTCCGTCTGTCTGTCTTTTGTCGTCTGTGTCGATTTTTATAAGAACGATAATTCCCGAAACTACTGGACCGATTGTTGTCAAATTTTGTATGTATATAAGTACATCATGTGGATGGTAGAACGCTAACCAAAATGTGGCTAATCATCTATAGCAACCATTTGATGACGTCATCTCCAAAGTGTCTGCATTAAAAAAGTATAAATGGTATACACTTGTGGTGTATGAATCCGATTTGAAATTTTCCCTTTGTAATTTTCACAAAAAAAATATCTTACATTGTGATTAGCAATATCTACATTGTCTTTACTGTATAGAGGTCATCAAAAACAACAAAATCAAATTTTGCCATTTTTCGAAGAAACAAGAAGAATTTGAGAGAAATGACACGTAAAAACGAAATTTTGTGATGGAACGTCAAATCTCGTCGCTGACAACCGTATTGAATAAAAAACCCTAACAGGACAGTGTAACCAACCGTACGGTAAATAGAAATGACCTATACTTACTTACAACTTTTACATTACTTATTAAATTCGTTATTTTATCGGTGTACTTTATATTCTTCATCGAAAAAGTTTCAGCCTAGTCTCTAGTAAAACAAAGGGAACTGAAAAAAAGAAAAAAAAATTAAAAAAAAATCCTCCCCGGCGGGGAATCGAACCCCGGTCTCCCGCGTGACAGGCGGGGATACTGACCACTATACTACCGAGGATTTCATGTCTGACTATTCAAACTACACGTACTTGTTTTGTAACTGGTGCTGCGATAAGTATCGAATACTGTTTGAATTGATAGTAGAATTTACTAAATCTGAGAAATATTTCTTGCATTTTTAAAAAGTCAAGGAAGTTGGATTACGACATTTTAAAAATAATAATCAATAACAGATTTTGATTTAAATTAAATGTCACTGTCAACTTTGTCATACTTTGTCAGTTTTGACAGTAGGAAGAATTGTGGTGTGTGATGTTAAAATCGGTTTTGTAGTTTCTAATTTAAATTGTAAAATTTTTGTTAGAGCAACAGACATTTAATTAAATTTTACATTTATAAATTTTCTGCAATTAAACCGCAATAATTGGCGAGCGTCCCGAGAAATCCTCTTCTGAAGAAATTCCATTAAGTATGCTTGATTTACAAACACTGTTACTCTTTTCTTTCGAAAACAGACAGCCGGAAAACCCTAAAATCGTCTCCGCTTGTCACCTGATTAACATTCCACGATAAACAGTTTCCTCAAAGTAAAAACCAACCAACTTCCAAAGAACCCGAAATTCGCCATAACCCCTCACGAGCGCAAAATTAATTTCACTAATTCTTACTCATCTTCTCTCAAAAAGCGTACAATAATTTCTCCGGCGCGCCGAAGATCCCAACCTCCGCAAGCGCCGAAACAATCAAATTACATGCATCCCAAAAAATGTCGGCTTGTCGAACCGAAGGTAATGTCTAGGCCACGAAAGCCAAGAAAAAATAGCAGAAGCCGGTGGAAGGGGCAGAATATGTATCTCAGTGCAATTTAGGATTTCACTACAACCGTAGAAGATTTCGCGCAAGAACTACTCCATAACGTTTCTTCACTAGTTGAGTACCCGCCTTCCTCATCTCCAGGTGTCGTTCCTGCGGTGTCGTGCGTCCGAAGAACACGCGAAAAAATGTGGAAGATCGGACGGTATTAATGTCGTTTGCGCTAATCGGGTCCGAGATCTGCTAAATTACATGTTGTGCGAGGGTTAGTGTCGAAAGAGGATACTGCAAGAGGAAGCACTAAAAACTTTTGTAATTTGCAACCAATGTCTTGCTGGTTCGACTAGTTCCAAAAAGCGACATGGATTTTGTTACGAGGTAAGGTTGTAATTAGTTTTACTTTCGTTTCATTAGTTATTTAGATTTATGCGGACGAAATCGAAGAGTGTAGCGCAAGGAAAGTGAAAATGAAGATGGCGCGTGTTTACCCCGGCTTGATCGAGCTAATTTGTGTTATTTATTTTAAATTAGCGCCGTCATAATTTCGTTACGGACGCCGTTTTCAATTAGAAGCGCTGGCGCTTGTTTATCATGGGCTCTTATTACCGGAGACTACCGGAGTTAAGTGTTTCTTTGGAGGATTAAAGCAATCAGAACGTATTTACACGTTGCTATAACATATTTAGTGCCTGCGTGTGGTACGACTGTGATTTTGCACTTTTTCAGCACTGAAATTAACTGAAAGGTTAAAGATTAGAGAAAAGTTCGAGGGATGTAATTATCGAGCGCGTTACTTTCAGGAAGTTGTTACAAACGTGTACTTAAGTATTTTAGAGGAAACTGAGACGTTGTTAAAGTATCGGTTTAAATTTTAACGAAATCAATAGGTATACTCTCCACTGAAAGCCAAAATAAAGCTGAGAAATTCTTTTCTCATTAAAATCTTCACGAATAAAGTTTTCTATGTTCTTTACAAGTGTTCTGCTCGAAATCTTGAGAAAAATGTCAAAAACTTTAGTTTTTGAGTATAGGTTGCAAGATTTCATTTAGAATAGTGAAAATTTTCAACAACTGATGGCAGAAATGGACTCACCGGAGTAAAATTAGTCTGGAAACCGAATTTCAGGCCGATTGGAGCATGTTTATTTTTTGATCAAATTTTTCCGAATGGGCAAAATTTTCTGATTTAGTTCAAAACAAGCTATCTTCCTTAAATGGGTCTCAATTGGTCTGAAAATTGCTCCTCGCCCTAATTCGAACCTTCTGAACAAGAATTTGATTTCACCAAAAATTGTAGGACACCTTCTGATTTTTTTTATATATTTTTTAATGTTGGAGTCTTCAGAAAATGACACCTTCCGATAAATTTAAGCGTGGATTCTAAATGGACGTTGACACCGAGTTGAAAATTCACCTACATGCTTAAAAAACTCTAGGAAAGCGAATGGTGGAAACGAAAATTTGTTATCTTTGTCCGTTCGGGGGTTGTAGACCGTCAAATTCAAAATTTAGTTTTTGAAAATGGGTTACAGAAGGATTTCGCCTAAAATAGTGAAAATTTTCAACTTCTGATTACAGAAATGAACTCAGCGGGATAGAATTAGTCTAGAAACCGAATTTCAGGCCGATTGGAACATGTTTATTTTTTGATCAAATTTTTCCGAATGGGCAAAATTTTCGGACTTAGATCAAAACAAGCTATCTTCCTTAAACGGACCCCGATTTGTCTGAAAATTGCTTCTCGCCCTAATTCAAACTTTCTGAACAAGAATTTGGTTTCACGAAAATTGTAGGACACCTCCTGATTTTTTTTATATATTTTTTTATATTGGAGATTTCGGAAAATGACACCTTCCGATAAATTTAAGCGTAGATTCTAAATCGACATGAACACCGAGTTGAAATTACACCCACCTACTTAGAAAACTTGAGGAAATCGAATGGTGGAAACGAAAATTTGTTATCTTTGTCCGTTCAGGAGTTGTGGATCGTCAAATTCAAAATTTAGTTTTTGAGTATGGGTTAAAGAAGGATTTTGCTTAAAATGATGAAAATTTTCAACTTCTGATGGCAGAAACGGATTCAGCGGGGTAAAATTAGTCTAGAAACCGAATTTCAGGCCGATTGGAACATGTTTATTTTTTGATCAAATTTTTCCGGCTGGGCAAAATTTTCGGATTTAGATCAAAACAAGCTATCTTCCTTAAACGGACCTCAATTTGTCTGAAAATTGCTCCTCGGCCTAATTCGAATCTCATGAACAAGAATTTGGTTTCACCAAAATTGTAGGACGCCTCCTGATTTTTTTAAATATTTTTTTTATATTAGAGTCTTCGGAAAATGACACCTTCCGATAAATTTATGCGTAGATTCTAAATGGATATAGATACCGAATTGAAAATTCACCCACATGCTTAGAAAACTTGAGGAAAGCGAATGGTGGAAACGAAAATTTGTTATCTTTGTGTGTTCAGGAGTTGTGGATCATCAAATTCAAAATTTAGTTTTTGAGTATGGGTTAAAGAAGGATTTCGCCTAAAATAGTGAAAATTTTCAACTTCTGATGGCAGAAGCGGACTCAGCGGAGTAAAATATGTCTAGAAACTGAATTTCAGGCCAATTGGAACATGTTTATTTTTTGATCGAATTTTTCCGAATGGGCAAAATTTTCGGATTTAGATCAAAAGAAGCTATCTTTCTTAAATGGACCTCAATTTGTCTCAAAATTGCTCTTCGCCCTAATTCGAACCTCCTGAACAAGAATTTGGTTTCACGACAATTGTAGAACGCCTCCTGATTTTTTTAATAATTTTTTTATGTTGGAGTCTTCGGAAAATGGCACCTTCCGATAAATTTATGCGTTAATTCTAAATGGACACGGACACCAAGTTTAAAGTTCACCCATGTGCATAGAAAACTAGCGGAAAGCGAATGGTGGAAACGAAAATTTGTTATCTTTGTCCGTTCTGGAGTTGTAGACCGTCAAATTCAAAATTTAGTTTTTAAGTATGGGTTAAAGAAGGATTTCGCTTAAAATAGTGAAAATTTTCAACTTTTGATGGCAGAAACGGACTCAGCGGAGTAAAATTAGTCTAGAAAGCGAATTTCAGGCAGATTGGAACATGTTTATTTTTTGATCAAATTTTTCCGACTGGGCAAAATTTTCCGATTTAGATCAAAACAAGCTATCTTCCTTAAACGGACTTCAATTTGTCTGAAAATTGCTCCTTGCCCTAATTCGAAACTCCTGAACAAGAATTTGGTTTCACGAAAATTGTAGGATGCCTCCTGATTTTTTAAATATTTTTTTTATGTTGGAGTCTTCGGAAAATGACACCTTCCGATAAATTTATGCGTAGATTCTAAATGGATATAGATACCGAATTGAAAATTCACCCACATGCTTAGAAAACTTGAGAAAAGCGAATTGTGGAAACGAAAATTTGTTATCTTTGTCCGTTCAGGAGTTGTGGATCGTCAAATTCAAAATTTAGTTTTTGAGTATGGGTTAAAGATGGATTTTGCCGAAAGAAGTGAAAATTTTCAACGTCTGATGGCAGAAGCAGACTCAGCGGAGTAAAATTAGTCTAGAAACCGAATTTCAGGCCAATTGGAACATGTTTATTTTTTGATCAAAATTTTCCGAATGGGCAAAATTTTCGGATTTAGATCAAAACAAGCTATCTTTCTTAAACGGACTTCAATTTGTCTGAAAATTGCTCCCCGCCCTAATCATACCTCCTGAATAAGAATTTGGTTTCACGATAATGTAGGACGCCTCCTGATTTAAAAAAAAAATGATGTTGGAGTCTTCAGAAAATGACACCTTCCGATAAATTTAAGCGTAGATCCTAAATGGACACGGACATCGAGTTGAAAGTTCACTCACATGCTTAGAAAACTTGAGGAAAGCGAATGGTGCTAACGAAAATTTGTTATCTTTGTCCGTTCAGGAGTTGTGGATCGTCAAATTCAAAATTTAGTTTTTGAGTATGGGTTAAAGAAGGATTTCGCCTAAAATAGTCAAAATTTTCAACTTCTGGTGGCAGAAACGGACTCAACGGAGTAAAATTAGTCTAGAAACCGAATTTCAGGCCGATTGGAACATGTTTATTTTTTTATCAAATTTTTCCGAATGGGCAAAATTTTCTGATTTAGATCAAAACAAGCTATCTTCCTTAAATGGATCTCAATTTGTCTGAAAATTGCTCCTCGGTCTAATTCGAACCCCCTGAACTAGAATTTGATTTCACGAAAATTGTAGGACGCCTCCTGATTTTTTTAATTTTTTTTTTTTTGTCGGAGTCTTCGGAAAATGACACCTTGCGATAAATTTAAGCATAGATTCTAAATGGACATGGACACCTGATTGTAAATTCACACACATGCTTAGAAAACTTGAGGAAAGCGAATGCTGAAAACGAAAATTTGTTATCTTTGTCCGTTCAGGAGTTGTGGATCGTCAAACTCAAAATTTAGTTTTTGAGTATGGGTTAAAGAAGGATTTCGCCCAAAATAGTGAAAATTTTCAACTTCTGATGGCAGAAATGGACTCAGTGGAGTAAAATTAGTCTAGAAACTGAATTTCAAATCGATTGGAACGAGTTTATTTTTTGACCAAATTTTTCCGAATGGGCAAAATTTTCGGATTTAGATCAAAACAAGCTATCTTCCTTAAACGAACCTCAATTTGTCTGAAAATTGCTACTCGTCCTAATTCGAACCTCCTGAGCAAGAATTTCATTTCACGAAAATTGGAGAACGCCTTCTGATTTTTTCTATATTTTTTTATATTGGAGTGTTCGGAAAATGACAACTTCCGATAAATTCATGCCTTGATTCTAAATGGACATGGACACCGAATTGAAAATTCACTCACGGCTATAAAAAACTTGAGGAAAGCGAATATTGGAAACGAAAATCTGTTGTCTTTGTCTGTTCAGGAGTTGTGGACCTTCAAACTCAAAATTTAGTTTTTGAGTATGGGTTAAAGAAGGATCTCGCCTAAAATAGTGAAAATTCTCCACTTCTGATGGCAGAAGCGGACTCAGCGTAGTAAAATTAGTCCGGAAACCGAATTTCAGGCCGATTGGAACATGTTTACTTTTTGATCAAATTTTTCCGAATGGGCAAAATTTTCGAATTTAGATCAAAACAAGCTATTTTCCTTAAACGAACATCGATTTGTCTGAAAATTGTCCCTTGCCCTAATTCGAACCTCCTGAATAAGAATATGGTTTCACGAAAATTGTAGGACGCCTCCTGATTTTTTAAATATTTTTTTTTTTATATTGGAGTCTTCGGAAAATGACACCTTCCGATAAATTTAAGCGTAAATTCTAAATGGACACGGACACCGAGTTGAAAGTTCACCCACA